GGGGAAGAGATACTAGAAAGTATTGTTTCTCTTCTATGTGAGATATAGATGGGGAGATGTTGACTACTCCAAGAGAAGCTCTAGTTTAAGGCACAAAATTGACTGAACGATGACTTTCGCACTCTCCAATTTATGGGCTGGAGGAGAACTAATTGCCTCATAGTATTCTCTGCCTCTTCTCACCATTATAAAGTTGGCAGAAATTAAAATGAGCATACAGAAAGTCTCAAACACTTTAGACTTTAGAGGGATTATGGAGTGAATATGGAATTGTATGGGACATGCCTTTTATTAAAAGTGTATGTATGTGTATATATATATATATATATATATATATATATATATATATATATATATATATATATATATATATATATATGGTACAAATAAAATACGAACACCAGGAGAGTATAAATATAAAAATATACTTTACTAAAAGCTGCCAAGCTTTCGTTTGGAAACTCCAAACATCATCAGGGCTAAGGAGCCAGTAAACAATGATGACTTAAATGGGTTTTGCCGGCATCTGCACCCGGCTCATGGACCGCGTCACCGGTCCCGGCCGGTTAATTAGTGTTCCAGATGTTTCTTTATTACTCTCCTTACGCTTCCTTCTATGGTTCTTCCGGATCATTCCTTCCACTATCTCATTACTGGTATTCATCTCCTCCACCACCCCTTTATCCTTATTTCCTTCCATAGCACTGACCCTCCTTCCCTTTTTGTTTTCATTCTCCACCCTGGGGGCATCTGTTTCTCCTCTATCAGTGTTACAAGCTTCCCTGGGCTCACCGACGCTCCCCCACACACACGCTTTTCCCAATCCCTGCTCCACACCCTTTCTTCTCACTCTTCCACTGTCATGAGTAACTTTCATACGGGTGTTACATATTTGGGGGTCTATGCCCTTCTCCTCTGTCCTGGCAATCTTCGTGTCGACAGTTCTCCACCATTCCATTTGTTTGCTGCGTGATCGGGTGCTTACCCCGTCTCTCAATTCATCCCTCCTCCCTATCGCACGCTCTTCCCCATTGCTGATAGGAACGGTATTCAGGCGGACACCAGGTCTCCAGATCTCTGCATTCTGATTCCCTGCGTTCTCAAGGAGTATATGAAATCCCATGCACATCCAGCAAGGGAAGTTGGTTGTTAGCTTCTGTTTCCATGGTGAACTGTATTTTGGGGTGTAGGCTGTTGAGGTGTGTGAGGAAGTTGTCCAGTTTTTCTTTCCCATGCGGCCAGATTATGAAGGTGTCATCTACGTATCTGAGCCAGAGTTTGGGTTTGTGATCCAATTTTTCTAAAGCTTGGGGTTCAAAGTGTTCCATGTAGAGGTTTGCAATGACAGGTGAGAGGGGTGATCCCATGGGTGCTCCTTCTGTTTGTTTGTATTTTTTTCCATTATAGATGAAGTATGTGTTGGATAGGCAGTGGCTGGTCAGATCTAAGATGTGTTTGGGGGGGTTATATTTGTTTTGGAAAGCTGTCAAGGCTTCTTTGATAGGCACTTGGGTGAAGAGGGATATGACATCGAAGCTCACGAGTAGGTCGCTGGGCTGTAAGTTTTGTTTCTTTATGATCTCTATAAACTGGAATGAGTTTTTTACGTGTGAGGTGATGGATTCTGCATAGGGCTGTGGTTGTTTGGCGAGAAATTTGGCTAGGTTTTGTAGAGGTGAGCCTATGGAGCTGACTATAGGTCTGAGTGGGGTTCCTTCTTTGTGTATCTTGGGGAGACCATAGAGTTTGGGGCATCTGGATGATTTCTCTCTGGGAATGATTCTTTGCTGGATCTCTTCGCTAATGGGGAGGCTTTTATTTTGGATCTGGTGGTTTTTTCCAGGTAGGTGGTGGGATCTGTATTTAGGGGTTTGTATGTGGAGTCTTGGAGTAGGTTGGTTAATTTGGTTTGGTAGTCAGATGTGTTCATAACCACCGTGGCGTTGCCCTTGTCTGCTGGTGGGATTATTATGCTGGTGTCTTCTTTCAGGTTACGTAGTGCTGTCTGTTCCTCTTTGGGTAAGTTGTTTTTGGGTGGCTTGCTGGTGCAGAGGATGTTGGTGATTTCGAGTCTGATTCTGTTAGCGTTGTCGGAGTTGATTTTGGTCAGGCTGGTTTCAACTCCACATATAATGGTTTCAGTGGGGATGTGTTTGGGAGTGACTGCAAAGTTGAATCCTTTGGAAAGGACATTGGTTTCGGCTTTGGTGAGAATCCTATCTGAGATGTTATGCACTGTTTGTTTCATGTGTGGCTGTGAGGGAGGAGGGGTTTGTTTCTGGTGTTCTTGTAGTCTTCGGAGTTTGTTGGTGTGTGTCTGTCTTGAGGGTGGTCTGTGTTTCGGCTCTCCAGACGGCGAGTTGTTTGGATTTGTCCCAAAGTGCGGGGTGGATCTTGTTGCTGAGTTTGAGGTGGAGTGTGAGGAGATCTTTGTTAATTCAGTCTAGAAGGAATCAGAATCTTCATTTCTGATTAGGGCCAATTCTGTTCTTTTCAGGATCCGTTTGGTGGCTGCAGAGTTGGAGTGGAATTTCAGTTGGAAACATGTGGGGATTAGATTTTGATCTCGGCAGTTGCGTAGGAATGCGAGGTCGCATAAAATGGAAGCTCTTTGGACTTCAAGTTTTTCATAGGTCCTGGTCCTGGTCAATTTTACGCGGGAGAAAACCCGAACAACCAAAGACCTACATACAAACACCTGCGAAAACCTCAGAAAAACATATATATATATATATATATATATATATATATATATATATATATATATATATATATATTGCATTTCATGGTTCATGATTAAAACTCAGACTAGGAGAAGGAAAAAGAAAAAGATCTGGAGACAAATGTCTTTCAAAATTCTCCATCTTATTTGTAAGCAGTGAAATTAGATCAATGATTCTTCAGAGAAAGAAGAAGTCTCCAATTTCTCAGGAGGCAGAAATCTATAATGGAAGTTTCTCTAAAGATGTCAACTTGAAATTTAATTTAAATATGTGGGAAGTGAGTCTGCATGCCAGTGAGATGTGATTGCATAAAAAAAAGGCAGGATTTAACACACAAGAGTGCAAGGGCACCATTCTCCAGATATGAAGATTTCTCCACAGTTCTCCTTTGCGTCAATTCCTAAAAGAACTTTTGCTTTGTTACATCATGACAACTGATTGCTTTGTCACATCATGATAATGACTAGAAAAAAAATGGGGGGAGGGGTTTGTGCTCACTATTAGTATGAAGAAAGTTTGCATGTAGGATATAAAAAAACCTATTGGAGGAAAGCTCCAGCTGGCAGTACTATATTATATAATTAACAATCTCAGTTATTGTCTGATCTATGCTTAAACACTAGGACAAATCTGAGTTAAAATATATACTTTGAAAATTTAGATTTAGATCCTGCTTCTTTCATTTTTCTCTACTTTGTAAACATTTTTATGTGCTTGGCATAGTTTGCTGGCAAGAGTATAGTACTAATCAACAATCAATTCTACTGCAACCTTATGCATATCTCCTCAGAAACTACACCCTGTTTTGTTCAAAAGTTTACTTTTAGGAAAGCAAATTCTTGAAATCCTGCCTATACAATTGGCAATATTTAGGTTTGCTATTTTTATTTAAGGAAATGTTCCAAAGGTCAGGTTTGAATAAACTGGGTAGAATAACTAACCTTTTTACAGCATGGTTACTATGGGCTGAGAGGCATAACTTTAAAAAATATCCTTCAAAAGACACTGCTATTATTTAAGAATCTTTGATTAAAATAAAACTCTTCAAATAATTAAAAACTTTAGGGGAAAGGAGTTTGATCCATTCAGATGTCTCATTTTTATGAGGTCTTATTTGTCTCAGGATTTTAGGAGGAACAGTCTGTGTCATAAATGTTAAATAACTCAAATAACATATTCTGATGATTCTAAATGGCAATGTCAGTCAAAGTTCATCTACTGCTGCTCCATATATCCCAAGAAACAGGACAGATAAATTATGCAAATGTGCTTAGAACAGAAACATATTTAATTTAAATTCATATTTAATGTTTAAGATCAAATCATTTCAATATAAGAAACAGCTGGAAACACTCTGATCATGTTTTGATCCTAGTGCTGTTTTCGTCTCTCATGCATCCTAAAAATAACAGTGGAACCCTGGTTTAGATACTATCTGACAAGACAGAGCAAATTCTGGGTTCCTCAAATGACTTTCCATAGTGTCCTTTTTTCATATTTATACTAGTTACTTTTTAAGTTGTTTTTAATTATTTTGGATTGTTCTTCAGTGCCATTTTTCATTCAAGTTATTTTACATAGTAGTGGAAACATTTCACTAATACGATATGTAGTTCCTCAAACATATGAGGAAACATTCATTTCATTTTTCTGCTATTTTTTTTAACATCTGTTTTATTTTTTTGTTTTCAATGTCATAAAATTACATTCACCCATTACTAAGAATAATTCTTTTAGACATTCGCTGGCTATAATTTTTGTCTCCCATTCACATGGTATATGTATTCATGCATTGATAGACTGATTGATTAATTTTCTTACTTCTTGGAAGAAAAAGAATCAAGTACGGTGAGAGTCTAATACAAAATGTGCCATCTTCATACTATTGAATAAAGATGATCAAATTATATGCTATAAAGGAATTAAATTGGTTTCATCACACAATCTTGGGTAGTATCTATCATATTAGAAAATCAATATACCCTCCTGTAACAATTGCCTTGTTTTTATCAGCCAATAAAACAAATGAACAAACATAGAATTATAATTCATTGCACATGATTAATTCTTGTAATAACAATTGAATGAGTTATTTCTATTCCTTTTTAAAATAATTTATTCAAGTTTCAATTGTTCTCCAGATAAATGCATGTGATATAATATTTATTATAATTACTGGGGGGATGACTTTCACTGAGAATTAGAATATAAATACCAATAATAAATAGTTAGAACATGTTGTCTCAAATGAATTACTTATACTTTGTTCCTAAATAGGTACTATTTCTGTCAACACGATGCGAAGTCCTTATACTGCACCAGGAGAAAGTGAGATCTTGGATCTAGATGATGATTTATACCTTGGAGGTTTGCCAGAAAATAAAGCTGGCCTTGTCTTTCCAACGGAGGTTTGGACAGCCCTTCTAAATTATGGCTATGTGGGCTGTATTCGAGACTTATTTATTGATGGACAAAGTAAAGATATCCGTCAAATGGCAGAAATCCAGAGCACATCTGGGGTGAAACCCTCCTGTTCAAGAGAAACAGCAAAGCCATGTCTAAGCAACCCATGCAAAAACAATGGCATATGTAGAGATGGCTGGAACAGATATGTCTGTGATTGTTCTGGTACAGGTTACCTGGGCAGATCATGTGAACGAGGTAAGTCACTGTCTTCAAACCTTTGGTTTGCAGAATGAGGATGGAATGAAGTGAAACAGTTATGTACGTTCTACTGATCTATTATGTGCATTTTTTCTGCATACAATTGTATGGATCAATCATTTGGTTGGTAATAAACATTAATCTATAAAGCACTGCATGAAGCAGTGGACAAAATACTCCACTGAGAAAAGAAAACTACCATGAAAATGATCTAATCTTCACATACAAATTATTACTGAATGGAGCAAACTGATTTAGATTTTTTTTCTTTACTTTTCTTTCAAAAAATGGTATCTAAGGAGAATATTATTAATGCAATATATATAACAATACTAATATTATATTGTTCATAATATAATTTGCCTGGTTTATTTTGCTGGTTATAAAAATCAAGAAGGGTCAAATAGACTTTGCAGTATTGGTTAAATAAATAATGAAATTTATAAATAATATTTGATCAACACTATAACTATAAAGTTGTCAACAATAAAAAGCTTTGCAAGGGTAGTTTGCTTCAAAGATAGTGAAATGTAAATGAAGTGCTCCTACAATGTGGTTTCATGATTATGGTCCCCTGCCTCTAAACAATGAAGTAGATGTGGTATGTTGTTTTTTTAATGCCAAATTGGGGGCCTGTTCTAGAATGTCTAGGAATTGGAAGAGACTTCTGTCTATGGAAATCCCAGAGAAAGCTCAGAATCAAAATAAAATGTCTCATTAAGACAAATTGTGCCACCATTGTGTTCACCATAGAGGCCTAATTGCAAGGCACATTGCACAGATCTAATAAATAGTAATTTGTCATACAGCATAGAGCCCTAGTTGATCACCACATTCATTTTCAAAGCAAGTAAGTCACAATGACATTATGATTTTCGCAGGATATCAAAAAGGAGAATACTTAAGAGAATGTATGGATTATCAGTACCAAATAGAAAACAAGATTTCAGTCTGAGAGGTTTTATTTGGCCCACAAAGTGAAAGAAAGATCTCAGAATGAAATTATAAAGTTGGTAAGGGAAAAAAAACAGAGGTCTCTAGTCCTGGAAACAGAAGCAAAGTAGAAACAGCTATATAACAATCATGAAGAATAGTTTACAATAGTTAATGCAAAGAGCCTAAACATTTAGGCAAAGAACAAAAAATAACAATTGCTATCCTAACTAATGGATAACTAAAATAATTTCAGAAAAATATTACTAAATAAAATATCTACTAAAGAAAGAGTAATTTGACAGGGACATTCAGGAATGATCAAAACAAAGAAGACAGCAGTATAAAAGAATTCTATAGCAATTTTTAGAGTACTTGATTATCTTAGATCTGTGAATCTAAGGCAGAGGTCCCCAACCTTTTGGGTACTAGGAACCGGTTCCGTGGAGAAAAGTTTTTCCATGGACTGGAGAGTGCATGGGTTTGTATGCTGCCTGCATCCCACAGATGGAGCTTGGCTTGTTTGGCGTGCCGGTACTGGTCCATGGACCTGAGGTTGGGAACCCTGATCTAAGACTTCAAAAGTCATAAGGCTGATACTTCATGTAGTATGATAAGACTTTGCTGTAACATTGTTTTTACTTTTAGCATTTTCCAATTTGGCAGTTTTCAGTTATGTGGCCTTCACCTCTCCAACTACATTACACAGTTTGGTTAAGTCTCTGCCAGAGAGAATTGAGCTATTTTCTCGCCAGCACTTTAAATCCAACAATTCTACCATAGGCCACAACGAAGGCTTACGATCTGATAAGCATTGTCAGATACCAGCATTTGGATAGGAGTAACCTGTAATGTAGTTAACAGAAGGAATATATGACTTTCCTTAACTCAATCAGCAGAAGCCTTATTAATGTTGACTTTAATAGATCTCCTGTGTCTAAATGTTTCTCAAATCTTTCTCTGTGCTATGGCATCAGAATAGAGTCTAAAGGAAATATAAAATTAGTCATGGACAGAAATCCTCTGAAGTCCTCTGTTGTAGTTCTTATTGGTAATTGATCATGTTGCAAGACATTTTCTGACATCTATACTCTAGCTGTTGTACCAAATGTGTCATTAACCTAGCTCCCCGGAATACCAAGGAGCTGAGACAAGCTTTATGGATTAATCAAAGACATTTGGGAGCAATCATCTCCAATCTTTCTGGTGGAGATGAAGATCTTATTAGGACTACTACCTGCAACAAATTCCCTGAAAAGACTCCGAAAATGTTCTAGATTCATAGTCCCAGAGGAAATCAGTCACATTTATTTTCCACTCCAGCTGAGGTTATAGGTAGTTTTAAGGTTCAGCTTCTTCAAGTAGTGATTTGTCTATGACAGTGGTGTGAGAGAAAATGACTTTTTCTGTGTGTATGAGCATCCCTAAGAATCCAGCTTGGGGAAAGATAAGTGAAGCAGGATTTTAACTTTAATTGAAAAACAAGAAAGAAAATACATGACGGAGAAAGACTGAGCTAAATATTTAGGTAGTTACTTCCTCTTAGAAGGAGAGCCAAATACAAAGGGTCCATTTATATGTGCATTAGGATTAAAGAAGAGCCTGATATTAACAATGTGTTTGACCACAGAGCTCCCTTGTCCCAACTTTGAGATTGTAATTGAGAATAGGTCACCATATTGGTGCCTCTATCTTGGGGCCAGGTACATTTATTTATCAATCCAATTTGCATGCCACCCAGCAGCTGAAAGTTGCTGTAACAATGAGATGGGCACCATCTAAATTTAATAAATAAATAAATAAACTCCAATGACTTTGGGCAGCTTCCAGCAGGAAAATAACTACATACCCTCCTCTATTATGATTCTTTTGGGAAAGGATTCTGTAGAAGGAACCTGCAGAGTTCCAATTGATCCTTCTCTTCTCGTCATGGGTCTCTGTGATCATTTCTCCTTTTGCCACCAGAGAAAACAGAGCCTTCCTTGGCAGTCAAGGTTGTTTTTCTTTTTTTTTGACTCTAACAGGAAGGTATTCCATAGACGGATATTTCTAACTGTGATTGCAATGCTTCCCACCATAGATTATAACCATACTTGGCTGGTGCACAGTTGCGGTCTTCCACATGATGAGGAACTCGTGCAATCAGATTTCTCAGCACGTGGGATACTGTCAATTTCAATTCTTTGGTACAACCTATGCTAACATTGACTATACAACACTACGAAGTCTTATAATATGCTACTAATTTATCACCTACCATACCTAGAAAATGAGAACTGATTCTCAATAAAATGTCATTATTATTGCACCTTCATAATGTGAAATAGTGACCATAGTGCAATAGTGCAATAAAATTCAACATTCAGAAATGGGTTAACTTACATAGCAAGTTCCGCATAGTTATATTTCCCTTCAAAGAAGGGAAATTCTCAGAACTGAATAGACTGATGAAAAGAAAACTCAAATAGGAAGCCAAAAGGGCAATCACTCTCCAGAAAGCTTGACTGCTGTTTAAAATCACAATAATAGCCATAGAATAAAAAGGTAGGCCCTCTTGTAGATAAGCAATGGGGTAAAGAATGGAAAATGAAGAGTAAAAGTAAATGGTCATTTCTCACAATGAAGAGAGGTAACTAGTGGGGTTCCCCAGGATTCTGTATAGGATCAGTGCTTTTTTAACATATTTATAAATGACCTGGAATCACCTGGTGCTTAATGGAATAGCCAAGTTTTCTGATGACACTAAATTGTTCTGATGGTAAAAACAATAAGAGAGTCTGAAAAGCTCCAAAGGAATCTCTGCACATTAGGGGAGTGGATATCAAAATGGAAGGAGTCATTCAATGTGAGCAAATGTAAAATAAAGCACATTGTTGCCAAAAGCCCCAACTGTTTATAAAAACTAATAGGATCAAAAGTGAAAAGGAAAAAGTTCATGGAATGATGATAAATAGTTCAATGAAGATGCCAACATAGTGCACATCTGTTGTAAAAAAAAAAAAAAAAAGGCCAAAAGCTTGTTAGAGATAATAGAAAATGATATTGGAAATAGTGATGCCAATATTATAATGCCCTTTATATAAATCATTGGTGCAACTACATCTAGAATATTATAAGCAGCTCTGGTTGCCATGTCTCAAAAATGATGTAGTATAGCTAGAGATGGTTCATAGGAGAGCAATTAAGAGGCTCAAGGGATGGGGCAGCATCCCTATTTGAGGACTGTTTGGTCTAGAAAGGAGACAAAGGGAAGGATATAGTTGAGGAATACAAAATTATGTATGGTGTGGATAAAATGGACAAGGAGAGGAATACAAAATTATGTATGGTGTGGATAAAATGGACAAGGAGAAACAATTTTTTCTTCTTTTCAAAGTACAAGAACAATTCAGAAATAAACCTCATTGAGCATGTGTGAGAAATAGGCGGGGATAGTGATGCCCATGCTATGGCGCCCTGTGCAAGTAGTTCAGTAGGTAGTGAGAAGTGGAAGGAGAAGGTTGTATTATAGCTGGCTCATCTGCTAGATCAGGGGTCGGCAACCTTAAACATTCCACTTGGACACATTTCCCACAGAAAAGAAAACACTGGGAGCCGCAAAACCCTTTTGACATCTAAAATGAAGATAACATTGTATATATCGTTTTTTACCTTTATGCTATGTATAAAAAAACTATAGTGCGTTGCATTTATGAAATCAATGAACTGCTTGCGCTCTCTCTCCCTCCCCTCCCTCTCTCTCTCCCTCTCCCTCTCCCTCCCTCCCTCCTTCCCTCTCTCCCTTTCTCCCTATCTCTCCCTCTCTCCCCCTCTCCCTCCCTCTCTCTCCCTCCTCTCTCCCTCCTACCAGCCTCTGCTGCAGTTCACATGCTCTCTCTCCCTCCCATCTCCCTCTCCCTCCCATATCCCTCCCCCTCCCCTCCCTCCCTCCCTCCCTCCCCCTCCCACCAGCTTCTGCTGTAGTTCACATGCTCTCTCTCCCCCTCTCCCTCCCCCTCCCTCTCTCCCTCCCCTCCCCCAACCTCTGCTGCAGTTCACATGCTCTCTCTTTCTCTGCCAAATGA